GTGTTTGTATACGTTTTGTTATTAACGTAATTATATTTGGGGATTTTTTTCCGCTTTGATGTTTGAAATAGTATTTGTAAAAAAAAAATTAATAATTAAATAAAATATTATAGATGTGTTTTGATTAGCTGATTTAAAATTCATATTTGTTAGCAAATAAGAGGGAGTTTTCTTTTCCAGAGTTTTCATCTCATGATTTTAATAATAATAATAATAATAAAAATTAAATTAAAAGGTAATTGCATTTTTTTTATCTCACAATTCTAACTTTTTCTCAGAATCTGACTATTTTTTTATATCACAGTTAAGACTTTTCTTCTCAAAATAGCGAATTTATATCTTCCAGTTCTGACATACAATATTCCGAGTGATAAATGTGAGATATAAATTCATAATTGCGAGGAAAAATGTCAGAATTGTGAAAATGTCAGAATTGTGAGATAAAAAGTCCTTACCTTTTTTTTTTTTTTATATACCATGGCGGGAAAATGCTTCAACAGCTTAGTCTAATATATTGGGACAAAAAAAAAGGCAGAAATAAAATGTAATTTCCCAAATTCGCTTCTTTTTTTATCCAGTGGGTTGAGCAGTAGTTCAATCCAGTTAATTCAGTAAAATCACAAGAACAAGCACACTGCGACTTTGAATACTAAAGAGCACTTTAACTCGAGCCCTGAAATTGTGGGCTAAATCTAGTCAGATATTACAGCTGATATTAAAATCTGACAGAAATACAGTTTGTTCATTACACAAAATTGCATGTTGCAGAAAATGGTCCAGGCCAGCATGCGCTTATTAAGAGCTTCGGTGAAGGTTTGAGAACTTCTCATTAAGAACTTACACAGCTGACGACAAACAAAAGAGAGCGATAATGAGTCATTGTCCAACGTAAAATGACAAAAATAAAATGACAAGCATGATACTCATACCTCTGGTTTCCATGGCAACTTTTTGTACTTCCGTGCGATGAACTTGCGGATTTCAGCTTGATCTTTGTCATGAAGGGTGCCAGCGTTGGGCTCATCTTCCTGCAAGAGAGAAAAAGAGACGGCCATGTCAACATGACACATTTCCATTAATAATGATGTTATTAAATTAATAACTCATGTTATTTTCTAATATATTTTAAAATATTCACATTAACATTTTACTGATGTGTTATATATATATATATACTGTATATATATATCTGTGTGTGTGTGTGTATATGTATGAATATATATATATATATATATATATATACAAATGGATTTGTTGCGTCCAGTGT